TGTCTATATATTCATTTGTTCTCAAAATTTTCCATTAAAGTCTCACTTCACCCATCTTCTATAAATAGGGCTATTTTCAAATTCTATAGTCATATACTAACAATTTAACACTAAAATATTCTTTGTATTTCTTAAACTAGGTATACAGTATGTAATACACTGAAGTGCAGTAAGATGGTTTATTATGCACAAGACTGTGAGTGCAGACTATCTCTAATCTACTTCTCACTACATATATGACCTGAAGTAAGTAAGATACCCTCTCTTCCCCATTTTCCCATAGGGCTGTGGTGAGAATTAAATGCACTAATGTATATCAAGTGCTTAGAAAGGTGCCTGGCACTTAATAAGCACATCATAAATGTCAACTACTTTAATTATGTAATTATTATTTTTATGAGAAATGGCATCCCAGCTCAGACAACTCAGTACAAATCCTGATAATATTAAAATTTCAATTTACTTTACAAGTGAGCTCAAACATTTAGGAAAGCTGGGCTAATATCAGCCCAGGTTTTACACTAAGCAGTCTGTGTTTACACTGTATCTACCCCATTCACAAATCAAATTTTCTCCAACTCTGAGTCATTATTAGTTTCTCTCCTGACTCATCACATAGAAAGGTAGACAGTCTGGAGCATAATGGGAATAACAAAAGGCATTTCTTAATCCACCTGGATTTATAAAGTTTACTAAGTGGAACTTGTCCTATATTCAATACACATACTAAATAATTATGACCTAACCTGTGTTCACTTAAAAGTGCTTTCTATATGTTAAATGCTCCTTTATCTTCCCTTTCACCAACATAAGTTCAAACTATGGAATAGGTGTTATGATCCCATTTTGATAGAAAAACAATTTATCACTTAAGTAAAATCAAAGATTCACATTTTCTGACCACTAGTCAAAAATAAATGTACATTTTGCCAAGAGCCTGGTGTTCAAAATTTTGCCACACTATAGGTTAGAGGGTCAGAAGCAATCTCTGAGTACACAAATTTGACCTGAAATTCTATTCAATTCCATACCTTTACTGTTTTCCTCATTCAAATATTTAAATTAATTCAGATAACCTTTAAAAAAAAGTTTTATAAAAGTCTAAGGAAATATGCTCAGTAATGAAAGGTAGGTTAATGTTTAAAAACTCTCCTTTTCCTAGATATATACATACACACAAAATACACAAAAACATTTAAAATATTGCTCTATCACTTACTTTCTATGTGATCTTGAATCATTTAAGCTCTAAGTCTTCATTTTCTCCTCTAGAAATGGGGATAAACAGTGTAACTACCACATGAGACTGCTGTGAACTTCAGTAAGTAAAGCACGTTAGACAACCACTGAAGTTAAACCACTTTAGCCAACCACTATTTTAAAACAGAAGTTTTAAATACTGTATATGTTAACTTTTACACTTAAACCAAAACTTCAGTGCCACCTCTACCTATTCAAAGATTCTATTTTCTATGGCAACCATCTCCATTAACCCATTCACACAACCCTACTCAACGGCAGTAACTTCACAAACACCCTGAAAACAAGTATATAACTGTCTAGGAAGCTTTCTTCAACTGTCACTCGTCCTCCCTGGGTTAGGTACCTTGCCCAGGCACTAAGCTGTACTTACTACTCTACTTTTCACATTTCCTTATATTACCTGAGAGCACCTCGTGGGCAAGGCTTATGTCCTATTCATTTCTATACCCAGACTGCAGCCCAACAGTTCTTATTACTGACTCACATTTGAATCAAATGGGGAACTTTTAAAAATATTAATGCCTGGGATCCATCTCAGACCCATTCAATTATTACAGGGTGGGGTGAAGGGACAAAGAGGGCAAGGAATTGAATTAGCATAAGCAAACTTTTTAAAGATCCTAACATACTATCAATGTGCTGCTCAAGTTAAGAACCACTGCATGCTGATACTTAATATACTATACAAACAATTATGTATACATGTACATATTTGAGAATATATGTAAAAATATACAGGTACTGAAAAGTTTAAGACTCAGGTCAAGATTCTCATCCTCAATACCTTCTCCCAGCCCAATCATCCCCTCCTTTAAACACACACTATTTCCAATAAATAGTTACATGTTTCATTAAGATGACTTTCAAACTGTTAACTCAGTACTTAAATTTTTTCATGTAATTATGCCTTATCCTTCTTCCTAGATTATAGTCTTGCTCCTTGAGAATATACACTGCTGTATTCTTGTTTTCTCCACTGAAGGATAGTGTCTTTAACAGGTATGTAATAAACAGTTGACTGATCTGATAAACACACATAAAAATTATTGGCAAGAAGTATGCCATGTCCAAATTACCCAATTCGGGTGAATTACTACCAAAAAATAGAAAAGGTAAAAATTTAGAAAAAAGGATTTTTTTTTTTTAATCTCTTAGTAAATTTTATCTCATTAAAGCAGCTCTGGGTATTTCGACTTTAGCCATCACAAGCAGTAACTACCCAGTTTCCTACCTCCCAAATGGCTAGTTTCAGTTTTTGACCTGGTTCCTTGCCTATAACTATCTTCTAGTCAATTCTGGTATCTTTAGCTGCTGTCAGGTACCTTTATAACAGTATTATATACACACCATAGAACTTGTAAAATGAGGTAATGAAAGTCATGTATCACACAGAAGTTTCGTAAGTACTTCCTTGAAGGAACTTAATGTTTATCCACCATTAAAACAAGATCTCTACATACGAACTACATGTTAATCTACTAATACAAACTTGGTTGGGAATCATGTCTGAAAATAAGAGTCTTACTCAACATTAGATAAAATAAAGACTACTGTTGAATATAGATAGATTGATCATTTTCATCTTTTTACATATTTTCATACCTGAAAAATTTGCAAAATACGTATGGCTTTTTAAAATAGGGGTGTTAAATTAAATATTACACAAGAAACTCCACGGCAACTGGTATTCTCTATGTTGAAACTACTAGGAGAAATGGCACACAATTCTAAAAAAGCAACAATATAAAGACATGAAAATGGCTCAGCTTTAAAGTTTTGCATCATCTATTTTACCACTATTAAAATCATCTGAAATACATAAGTTGTTTTGAAAAATATGAAAATGTGAGGAGGAGGCACTCAAGAAGTATGTCTGTTAATTAGATACTGTGGTAAAACATTACTGTTTTGTTGGGTCCTGCAGCTTGAAACGGATAGAGCCATAGTTACCAGTAAAAGAAAGCAGTCCTCAATTCCCTATTCAATAAAAAAGGTTCAAATTCCACAGACAAAAAAAGGTACCGTTGGTTTGTTTGTTTTTAAGGAAGATTAAATTTAGGAGTTGCCAACACCCAAACGAAAAACATTCCACAGTATTAGACTCCATTGTAGTGGGGAGTCATCTACATTCTCAGCACTAGGTTCTCTTACTCAAAGCAGGGATATTAACAAAAGATGTTTCTTAGGATCTCACAAGATACACTCTACTTACTTCCCCTAGGAAACATTATGCTTGTTTAAAAAAAAAAAAAAAGCACTTGAAAAATAATTTTAGCACATGCAGCCAGAAAAAAGTCAAGTTTAACATCTGCCAAGATATTTCCCGAAATAAGACCCCTGTTAGATAAACAATGAGAAAAAGATTGAAAATGACAAATTCTTTTATTTGGACCATCAGCTACTTTTAAAAATCAAGTTGAGGAATGTAGCTTTTCCAAAGCCTTGTCTTCAATTTCCCCTTAATCTTCACATTTTTAACTAAAAAAAAAAAAAAAAAAAAAAACCTGGAAATTTGATTACCACTCTTATGAATTCCTTCTAAAGCAATTTAATGAATAACAGACCTTTTGTGCAAGTAGCAAACCACAGAGGACAGTTTTGCTGGCTGATAAAAATCTCTGAAACGCTCATATAAATACATCCTACAAAGACACACTATGATTTTCCAGGTATGGAAATCATAATACTAAAAATTTAGGTGTATTTAATATACACTCTAAGTTATTGCAAATGCTTTTACTTAAACCACAATTAAAGTTAGTAAATTCGAAATAGTTATTTACTGGGTGACAAAGTTGAGTAAAATTAGAAAGCCAGGAGAAGAAAACGTGAAAGCTAAAGAGTCAATGAGAAAAAGATGCAAGTACTTTAGGTGAAACAAGGTGTTGAACCACTTCCTCAAATCCATGAGCTACTATCAAAGTAACTAAAACTTGTTTGAGATTGTTTTGTCTTGTTTCTGGTAGAGGGAGGTGTGATTATACACTTAGTAAAAATGTTTTACCAGTCACTCTAATGGAAGATGCTGCTACCTGCAGCAACGTTTTGAAAATGCTCAAAACTGCAAACAACCCGAAACAAACAAAAAACCCTACCACGTATGTGTTTCAGACACAGTACTCAAAAAGAGATCGTCTTAGCGAACAGAATTGTGGGTTATTAAAGCATCCCTGTTGTCGTAAATATCACTCAGAAAAAAACTGTGTGTGTGTTTAGGAGCACAACTTATAAACATTTGATTTCTATATAAAACAGTGAATGTATTCATTCGGATATACTCATCTTGAGTTCACTGGAAGATAAATCTGTCTCGGATACTGCTAAGGCCAAATTTTCTTTACAGGTGCTATTAAACATTGGTAAGAAAGGAGAAATAAACTGGTAACTTCACATGGGCACGTGGGACCCTAGAGAATGTCGTCACCACCATTAATCAATTTTTCTAACTGATCAAGCACAAACAGCCAAGTCCAGGTGGGCAAGTCCTGGAGCCACAAGTTGTCTTTCTACCACGGTAAAAAAGGATCCTGGATCTGAGACCTGGCCAGGAAGCCTGAAAAGCACGTGTCCTACTCTTGAGTTTGGGGAACTTCCCAGGAGGCATTTGTTCAGAGTAAAACTCCATCACCCCCTGCCTGCCTAACTCGGTGAATGGACAAGTACCAGCCAGAGGAGGAAAACTCTGGGCCCCGGGTAGCTCCCAGGAGGAAGACACCGGGAAGAAGCTGCCGGCTCACCTCTGCAGCAGGGATGTTGACCACGCCGGTGGAGCGCCGCTTCTCCCGCAGCTTCCTCTTCTCGATCTGCCCCTTGCCTTTCCTGGCACTGGGGCCCGAGCTCTTGCCCTTCTCCGGGACGCCGTCCTGCTCCTCCTCGTCACGCCGGGGCGGCGGTGCAGCCGAGGCAGAGGCGGCTGGGGGCTCGTCCTCCGACCGCCGCGGGCCGGGGGCCGCCCGGGTCAGCACGGCGGAGCCTACCGCGCAGTTCACGCCCCCGGGGCCGGGGACAGCAGGTGCGGCCGGCGCGCCGCCCGGGAGGTTGTTGTTGAGCTCGTTGGCAGCAGCGGCCGCCAAGGTGCCCAGAGCCCCCGCGGGGGGCTTCCCAGCGGCGTCGCTGCTGCCCCCTCCCGGGGCGGCCGGGCCCGGGGGGTTCTGCTTGGCGCGCATCTTCTCGCGTTTAGCCTTCCACTCCTCCAGGAAGTCTGTGGTGCTGCCGCCGAGGCCGCTGCTGGTCCGGTAGCCACCGGTCGCCATATTCCCAGAGGGGCTGGCCGGGCTCTCACCTCAGGCCGCCCACCAGGGCTCCGGCCGCTGCCTCCTTTTCCTTCCTGCGGCCCCGAGGATGCCAGGGGACGACCTCCAGGAGCGGGACGGCCGCCGCTCCCCCAGCAGCCGGCGGGGCTGAGGGGAAAGACAAAAGGGGGCGGGTAAGGGAAGCGTAAGATCCCCGCCCGACCCGAAGGTCTGGCCCCGGGCTGCGCCCCTCGGAGACCCAGAGCGCGCCCACTAGTCCCTACCGGCGAGCAGCCGCCGGGTCCCCACCCTGCGAAGTTTCTCCCACGCACCTACAGTGCGGACCCCGACGATCACCGCCCCCTCGAAGGGAGGAGAGAGGACTGACCCCACCCCCTAGTCGGCCCGCCCGCCAGCCCCGTCCCCACCAGGGTCCGCGCCGGCGGCGGTCGAGGTACTACGGCCAGACCCGCCACCTGTCGGCCCGTCGTATCGCTTGCCCCGCGCTCTGGCCACCGCCGGTCTGAGGTCCCCGCCAGCTACACTCCCACTCCCAAGGCGAGGCGCGGAGTTCCTAGTCGGTTCGAAGAGGAGGCGGGGACCCAGCTGTCCCGCGGAGTGGGGAAAGGGCCGGGTGTGAGCGAGCGGCGGGGCAGCCCCTTACCTCGGAGAAGCTTCTAGGGGACGAGGCGTGTGGCTGGGATCGGGCACCCAGGTGTGCCGAAGCTGGCGCGCGCTCTTCCGCCGCGCGGAAAGTGCCGCGGCAAACTCGCGGTGCGGAGCTCCAGGCAGTCCCAGGACAGGAGGGAGGGAGAAGAGGGAGGGAGGGGAGGGAGCGAGGGGCGGGAAGGGAGCCGAGTGGCGCCGAAGCACAAGCGGAAAAGGCCGAGGCGGCGCTTGAGGGGCGCGGCGCGCGGTGGGAAGGGTCGTGGCCGCTGACGCCCCGCCCCCGGCGCTCAGGTGCGCGGCGTAGCGTCCTGCCCGCCGCTGCAGCCCGCCCCGCGCCCGCCGTCCTCTACTCCGCACCCGTCGCCGACCACACCGCGCCCGCCGCGCTCCGCCCGCGGCCGGCGGTTTGGACCGCACATTCCTGGGCTAGCAGCCTCTCGGCGTCCGGCCTCCCGGCGCCTCCGACTCCGGGGCGGGAACGGCACTCCACGCCCTTCTCCTTGCTTGTCTTCTCCGCCTCTCTCTTCTCCCACCACTCTTCCTTTTAAGTACAAGACCGAATTATTTGAGAAAAAGTCTCGAACGCTGCTGGCTAAGGGGAAAAGTGCGATAACTTGTGATGATTCAGGGAATGACTAGACAGGATGGGAAAATACCCACGTGTCTCTTTTCCTAGTCGCTGCTCCCTTTTCAGATGTACTAGGGCAGCGGGCAGAAGAATAGAAAGAATTGAAGCAAACCTAGCACCCTCATTCTAAGAAAACTGCGGTGTGCTGCTGAAAAGGGTTGGCTAAGAGGAAGGACTTACAAGTATCTTAGGGTTGCGGGAGAAAAAACTCAGTTCGACAGTTTATTATATTGGCGATTCCAGTCTCGGAGTTTTCCGCTTAACCCTGTCTCTGCATCTCCTCTTTACAGGGAATGAATTTAGCAGCAAAGCTCCCTACCAAATAACGCTACACTGATGCTAATGTGAGATGAGCTGGGGCAGTGATTGTCTCTATTTTTTCATAATTAACATGCCAGAGGCTTATCCTCAGATGCAAGTCATCTACAATTTGTGGATCAGAGCGGGGTGGGCTGCCACTGACGCACCTGAGAAGACTGACCTTTCTATATCCAAGTAATGTCAGGGCACATCATTGTGGGAGGCTACAAATACCAGGTCTCCATTTTGTGAAAAAGTAGGAGAGCCCTAAGTCACTCTTACCTAACAAACCTTTCTTCCTACTTAATATTCGTGTTTTGCCCAGGTAGCACGTGGTGAGTGAGCAATCAGTTTTTGCCTGCCACAGAACTGGAGACAGAAGAAAGTGATTCATATGCTCTATATTTCTCGGGGAAAGACAATTTTGGTCTTTGGTCTGGCTGTTGTGGGAAACGTATGGAGAGAGCTCTGGAAAAATCCTTAGAAAATTAAAGACTTTTCTTGGGAATAGGTCTAAAAGGCTGAACGGCTGTTTAAGCTAGTACCAACCCCAGTGTGCCACCTGAAATTTCTGAATTACGTATTCATTAGTTTGTTTTCTGAGTTTTAAGGAGAGTAAGGGAGGCTGGGACATTAAACGTATTCACATTAATATGCTTTGTGACTTACCAGAGGTCTTTTCTCTTGGAAGGGCTGCAGGATATAGTGGAAAGGGTATAGTCAGCTAACTGAGGGATTTTGGGGCATGTTTACATTACCTGGTACTAAGCTTTCTGTACTATAAAATCAGCAAGAATTACTTTTTTTTTTTTTTTTTTTTTTGACATGGAGTCTCGCTCTGTCGCCAGACTGGAGTGCGGTGGCGGGATCTTGGCTCCCTGCAACCTCCGCCTCCCGGGTTCAAGCGATTCTCCTGCTCTCAGCCTCCCAATTACATTATATTTAAGCTGTCCTAAGAATTGACACTGCACATAAAATGTGCTTGATTCGAGGAAGGCACTCAGTAAACATAGTCCCTTCTAGGGACTTAACAGTCCTTGGTCTCTAAGAAGTGTATGAGAGAATAGGAAATTAAAACAGATGGGGCATTGAATATACAATATCAACCTAAAAACGATAGACTTTGAATGAACTAGGATAACATGCCACATAAATTTCTCACTGCATGGCTTAAACCAGTTCTCTTAGTCTTAATAGGTTCTGAGTCAGGAATTTTGGCTGCTACTGACTTGTGTGACTTTGGGCAAGTTGCTTAACTTTTGTGCCTCTGTTTACTTACATATAAAATGGGGATAATAATACTTCCTACATTGTGAGAGTGTTGTGAAAGTGCCTGCAGTCCTCAGATAAAAGGTGGTATGTGAGTACCAGAGTAGTTATTATTAGTCTATAAAGTGCCCTAGGAACCATGGATGAAAGAGATTATTGAGGTACAAAGCTCTGTGTTTTGTTGTTATTATCATTTATTATACCTTTTGTCTTTACCATTCTCAATAGTCCCGAAGATATATTTCACAGCCAGACTGCTTCCAACATTGCACTGAGGTATTTAGCTGAGTCAGTCCTAAATTGCAAGATGTTTGCATACCATCAATCTTTATATATAGTGTTCTGATGAAATAATCCTCAAAGACTTGAAGCTTGGTTTCTCAACCTCAGCACTATTGACATTTGGGGCTGGATAATTCTTTGCTGCCCTGCCCATTGTAGGTTGTTTAGCAGCATCGTTGGCTTCTGCCTGTTAGATACCGATAAGAAACCCCCACCTGTAATGTGACATTGCCACGTGGTCCCTGGGATAAAATTCTTCCCCAGTTGAGCACGTCTGAGTTAGCCTAAAATAACCGATTTTTAGCGACTCACTTACCCTTAATAATATAATGAAATATGGTGATAATGCTGACAAAACATTCATTTTAATATATCAGAGTGAAACCTATTCTAGATGCTAGTCTTAAATGATTTTGAGGAAGTGTATTATTATATGTATGGATAGCTAGTATATTGGTAAGTAGCCATTTTGCCTTCAATGCAGATATTTCTGGAACATATGCAATTCATCCTCTAACATCAAAATATTATATGTGCATAGTATAAAAAATTACATACTTTAGTTCTATAAGGATTGTAACAAAAAACAGCAATCTGCTCTCTACCTTATCCACTCTGAAAACCCTACCCAAAACTTTGAACTTTGTAACTGTTTCCATTAAGAGATCTTCATATTTATTTTTTATGTGCATATCTGCTATTGTATATCTTGATTTTTCCATTTTTAGATATAGAAGAGGATTTAGCTCTAATACACTAATAACACATATGCTTTTCATATTCCTACACTCCCACTATATATCATGATTTTTATTGAATAAACATTCAATGTTTATAGTATTATGACTATACAAATATTGTTCATAGCTGAATCATGTGGTGTACTATGATTGCATTTCTTTTTTTTACAACTGTTTTTTCTTGTTACACAACTATACTTTTTGTCTTTACCATTTTTCTGCAGTTAAAACTTGGCTCTTTTTTTTTTTTTTTTAATCATCGGCTTATTTTTTTATATACCAGTCACGAGTATATACTCAAATTTTCCTCCTCTCAATGAAGTTAATCACATTGGGTAAGCTATCAGTTCTATTCTCTTTTTTATTTTTTTGGAAACATCTCTTCTGGAGCCCTCCATCCCCTGCTTTAATCTGGATTGATTTTGTTTGTTTGTTTGGAGATGGAGTCTCACTCTGTTGGCGAGGCTGTAGTGCAGTGGTGCAGTATTGGCTCACTGCAACCTCCACCTCCCGGGTTCAAGCAATTCTCCTGCCTCAGCCTACCGCGTAGCTGGGACTACAGGCGCACGCCGCTGCACCCAGCTGATTTTTGTATTTTAGTAGAGATGGGGTTTCACCATGTTGCCCAAGCTGGTCTCGAACTTCTGAGCTCAGGCAACCCTCCTGCTTTGGCATCCCAAAGTGCTGGGATTACAGGCGTGAGCCACTGAGCCTGGCCTAATCTGGATTGATTTTAAGGCTCATTGCTTGTGGTCATCCTGGGATTATGCTCCTCTAACATCTTGAGAATCATTTTCTCTACAGACTTCTTGTTTCCTGAACTGCATACTTTTCTCTTTTTGTTTCTCCCCTTCATTTTAGTAGAGTATATCCTCAGTATATTCTGAAGATGATGTAGCTCATTCTTAGAGACCTTGCATATTTGAAAATGTTTTAAATTTATCTTTACACTTTATTAATAGTTTGGTGGAGCATAGAACTCTAGGTTAGAAATCATTTTCCTTCATAATTTTGAAGGCATCGCTTTATCATCATCTAGTTTCCAGAGTTGCTGTTTAGAAGACCAATGGCATTCTGACTGCATTGTATTTTCTGTCTCAAATTTTTGGATCTTCTTACTTAGATCTTCTGAAATATCTTGAAAATATGCTCTGATTTGGTCTTTTATCAATATTACATTACGCACTCAGTGGACCCTTTTAATCAGCTATCTGCCCTCCAGTTGGGAAACTTTCTTATCCTCTTTCTTTTTCTCTGACATGGAGTCTTGCTCTGATGCCCAGGCCGGAGTGCAGTGGCCTGATCTAGGCTCACAGCAACCTTCGCCTTTCGGGTTCAAGGGATTCTCCTGCCTCAGCCTCCTGAGTAGCTGGGATTACAGGCGCACATGCCCGGTTTTAGTAGAGACGGAGTTTCACCATGTTGGTCAGGCTGGTCTTGAACTCCTGACATCATGATCCACCCACCTCAGCCTCTCAAAGTGCAGGGATTAACAGGCGTGAGCCACTGCACCTGGCCTATTCTCTTTCTTTGATAAGACTTTCCTTCTACTTTCTCTGTTCCCGCCTTCTGGAACTCCTGTTAAGTAGGTGTTGGAATGCTAGAAGTTCTGTAACGAATTTTTTTTATCTTTTCTCTTTTATTTTTCATTTCCTTGGCACATTATTCTACTTTTAGTGAAATTTCCTTCACTTTATATGCCAATTCTTCTACAGAATTTTCTGTTTCTGACACTATTTCTAGTATCTCTTTCTTGTTCTCTAAATATTTTTTCTGTAGCATCTTGTTCTTATTGACACATATTGAGCATTTTTTTTCTCTCTAAGCAAATTGCTTACTTTTTTTGTTTTAATCTTCATCTTTCATGTTAGAGCACTTCCTTATCAGTCTGCTGTTTATTCATATTTAAGACTGAAGCACTGCGAAGCTGATTGAAAGCTCTTCTGCGAAAAGAAAGACATTGTTGGGCTGATGGACCTTATTTAGGGAGCCGGT